ATTTTATTGTGTTCACGTAAGTTTAATATATTTGCATTTAACACACTATGAATGGTGCAATCAATACCCTAGTTGACAGTTCTGCTGTCTGCGTTCGCCACGGTGTCGATATTAATAGGGAGGAAGCCGGGAAACGTCACCTAGACGATCCAGATGTTTCTCAATTCACGTCCCCATACAAACCATCCAATCCGGTTTGTAAAACGGAGGCGGAAGACTGTACCTCCTGCAGCGACATCTCTGGAGGATGTTCGCATCACTGGCGATTGGGAATTGACGCCGAACGGACGACGGTTTCTTCTGTCCTCTTCCTCTAGTAATACGATTGTCATCTTCGCAACCACTGAGAATTCGGATCGTCTCTGCAAAGCGGACGAAGTGTTCATGGATGGGATATACTCAGTGGCTCCTCAGCCCTTCGCCCAACTTTACTAACTGCATGTCACTGCTCCAATAGGAAAAATCGGATCTCGTGAAGGAACACTCTCCATGCCAGTTATCATTGCTTTTCTCCCTGGCAAGCGCATGGACACGTATCGCAAATTCTTTCAAGCTCAACTGGAAATTCGCCCCAAAGTGGGCCTTTCATTCCCTCCTCTTTCATTCCCAAGTTATTTCTCTTGGACCTGGAGGGAGCTGTCATCACTACACTACAGCTGATCTTCCCTTCTGCAACGGTCAAAGGTTGCCATTTTCACTTCACCAAGGCAAGCCGAAGAATGCTTCCATATCTAGATTTCTGGAGATATGACATGCTAATAGCCTCTATTCTTGCAGGTCATATACAGGAAGGTCCAGGAACTTGGCATCTCAGGACCTTACATGCAGTCTAAAGAAGTGAAGCTGTGGTCAGAAGAGCAATAGCTCACTCCTTCCTCCTTCATCCCGTTGGAAAGCATCGATGCTGTCTACCCGTGGATTAGTGCTGAAGCACCATCCTTGTCTGGAGTCCAGGAATTCCAGGACTATTTGGTCGAAACGTGGATTGACGATATAAATCCTCGATATTATCGCTCCGTATGGTCCCATTCCGGAAAAAAAAACGGCAGCAGGACAAATAACGCTGTATAGGCATGGCATAACAAACCGAAATCGGGCAATCAAGAGAAAGGCCAACCTCTTTGAATTTATCAAGTACTTGAAGGTTTCTCATATTTCTCCTATAACAAAGAGTGTGCAATCAGATGAAAACAGACTTGCAGAGATCTGTTTGTTTTTTTCCGCAGAAGGAACAGAACATCAATGAGATGCATTTGAGGAAAGCGCCGCACCACCAGAGGATAACTCGAGCAAAAAATACACCCGGAGGAATGTCGGCATCTCCAAAGCCGAAGACGAACTTTCGCATGGCGTAATTTACGTCAGAAACTTCATAGATCGAATTGTGCAACTTTTTAAGTCCAAGATTTTCTCTTAATGGTCCCCAGTGCCTCCTAAAAAGCAGTCATTCAGCATGGCACATGGGTCATTTGTGATTTCCTTGCATCCTTTTGTCAAGGAAGCACTTCTGTCTGTTCCTTTTATGCCTACTCCTGTAGGAGGCGAATTCCTCCAGAAGCGTTTTTGAGACCTTGGAGTCATGGTGGATGTAAGCCTACGCACGTATCTCCGTTGGAGTGGAGTTCTGTCAATAGGCTAATGGACACAACCCAGAAACGTGCATAGGCATGCATCAACACGACTCCAAGGCCGTAAAAAAAGTTTTAGGAAGAATTCATCTTCAACAGGAATAGGCATAAGAGGAGTAGGCAGAAGTGGTACCAGGTCGGTAGTCTACCAACTCGAAATCGGAAATTTTGTTGATTTATATTGAACGACTGCAAAGTCTAGTTTAAAAAAAAAAAATTTTGACCACCCATGTCCGAGATACTCTGAGTCAAACGAGGTAAGCAACCCCTAAACGGCGATGCGGGAAAAAAAAAATCTCTTAGCTTTGGCTGGATATCAATTTATTTTGTTTTATGCTTTAATCACAAGGAGATGGTTGCAAAAATGTCCGCGCAATCTGCAAGTAGCAGGCCTACAAGGGCCGTTGAAGTCAGTCACTTCGAGGATATTGACCTAGGCTACGAAATGTTTTCTTTGCTATATCAAGCTATCAACGTGGAACTAGGGTCAAATAAAGCTTTCACTGAGGAGAACACATTCATAGTAGTTTTACTACATGGTATATCTACGGGTTTTATAATGGTATCTCTTTACAGTAAGAAGTTATTAAGCTTGAAACAAAAATTTAAAATCTCCCAAGTTTTTCCACTTCCATGTTACGGCTACATCTTGGTATACACCACTCAACATTAGAAGTGGATCCTTATAAATTACGCGCATAAAGATCAAGATAATAAAGATGGCGCATATTGGGTGCACGTACTCTAGAGCCACTTTGCACCCAATCGTTCTGGGGACTCATATGATAGAACAAACGATCCAGGCTGCGAGAAAAAAAAGTATTGTACTGAAACAATGTAACGTTCACGATTATTTATAACAGTGATTCACATTAAATGTTGAGTGATGTATGTGAATTTGGCCTCTTGGCATGCCTGTTGACAAAATTGCTTCCTCCACTTCGGCACACTTTCGTGGGAGTTATATTTGATGTTCGGGCCATGGCGAGCTTATTTCGACGTCTAGCAAAGGTGAGAAACGGCTGTTGAAGTCCTACATATGCACACCGCTTCCTCACGTAACTGCAGCTTTCCCACAGTTTAAGAGCCGCTTTTTATGAAGCGGTCATATCTATGATGGTCGACTGACTCAAATTCGGATGGTGGCTTTTCAAATTGTTCCTTATGATGATTGATCGCAAAATTTCGATAAACAATTTTATTGACCATCCATCTCGGAGGTTAAGGTCAAAGAGATCAACAACCCCAAGATGGTACTGGGCAAAAAATTTTATTAGCTTCAGCTAGAGGCCAATACTTTTTTTTCCTTTTACCAAGTGGCTGTGGAGATGAGTGAAAAATATTCGCGAAATCTGAAGATAGCTGGCCTACAGAGGCCATCGAAAGAAATGTCGGAATGAAAATGAATATTGAAATGGCCATTTTGAATAAATCGTTGATTTTTGCTATCTTATAACATTTAGCTACATCAAAATTCCAAGATGGGAGTGGTACCAAGGAAAAAGCTTCCACTGAGGAGAACACACTCATAGTAATTTTTTATTATGACATCTTCTTTAAGTCGAAACTTATTTTTGTTGCGCCTGAAACTTAAAAAAATTCTTTAAACCTTCTTATTTTTTTATAATAAAACTTCTAAAAATTATATTAAAAACTTTTACAAATCTTTATGTCGGCCATGTTTACCTTACGCCAGGTCACGGTTACAAGCAGGTAAAAAGCTAATTTTGCCTATTTCGAAAGGATTTCCTGCCTTTCCAAAGGGGTGAAAGTATTTCCACAGTATCTTCGAAAGGTTTTTTTTTGTTGTTGCAAGGATTGACCACTCTATGAAGGGTTTTATTTTGCGGCTATTTGGTTCATTACTATTTCTGAGAAAAAAAAAATTGAGTTGTGCCAAAGTTGTAGGTCTCAGCCAGTGCCAATAGTTTGGCAGTTTTGATAAGATTGATATTTCTTTTATGGCAGGCAACCGATACGCAGACTGTGGCCGTGAAGAAAAAACACACGGCGCTGTGCGTGCGGGGCATCATTGTGTGACATGAAGCACATGCGACAAGTGCAAGGAATAAACAGCACTTTTAACATCTCATCCATGTGACGTAGTTGCTACGAAACCGAACGATCATCAGATGTTTGCTCTTTAACGACGTCTGTTAAGTTATTTGTTAACCAAGTTATTAAATCTATTATTTTTTATTCAAATGAGATTTATTCCGCCAATTAAAGCTGCCTGCCACGTAATAAAGATCGATCCCATAAAATCTTTTTTTAGAATCAAACTTTTACACTAGTTGAGATCTGCAACCTTGATACCATGATTTATTTTAAGGAATCGTATTTTTTTTTTAAATAAACGTGAAATAAAATTCATCATAAAGTACTAGTAGCCTGTGACTGAAATGATAAAATTCAATTTTAAAATTAACTTTCAAGATGTCACAAAAACCTTTCATTTGTCATGCCTGTTGGAAGGAATATCGTCACGAATCTGAGTTTGAGCGAAAGCTAATCTTGAATACATTTTTATATAATAAAAAAAGGTAACCCTGCTATTAGGGACGTGACCCTGCAGAATTCTTACGGTATTCTGCCTATGAAGGATTTTGGTTTCCTATTTATTTATTTATATATATTTTTTAAACTTGAGTTTCACACATTTTTTGCTGATTCCAGCGTCCAAGTAAGGCACTTCCCTTGCATGTATGACAGAGACAGCTGAAGCTGTCAGACTCGATTGCAAAAAAAAAAACTAATGCTATACATGCCCAAGGCAAAGAAACTGTTAAGAATTAATGAAATTCCACCGGAGATTCACAGGTTTTGAGATCACGGGCTTCTCCAGGGAATAAGGAATAAAGGCTGCCTGCCATAGGCGGCGATTTGTTGAGAAACATGGGTGGGCTCAGATACAGTACTCCCATTCAAGTATTCTTTACTCTCATGTCTTCACTGTGAGCCTGTTCTGCTAAATTTTTTGAGGGATTCGAGCCCCCTCAGCCCCTATGAATCGCTACCTATGCTAGTGCCTGCTGCTTATATTCACCAGGAGAAGCCTGTCTGTTCATGACACCACATCTTAAAATCTTCTGGTAACTATTATAGTGCAATGACTTAGCTATTTTCTTTTTCCTACGAGTATATATGGCAGATCTTTGACGATTTGAGTTCCCCCAGAACCACCCATATCATTGCTGTAAAGGAGCCCGGAAAATGTGCGTTTATTTCCGGACATAGGTGAATGCATTCACAAATATGTTTGAATGAGAACTCGCATTCTACAGCATGCCACGGTTTTACTGCGGTTCCACGCGGGAAAAACTATGCAGTCACGGTGGAAAGGGTTCCAGAAGGGGAGAGATTCAGACTTACCGCTCCAGCAGAGGACGAAGAGCTCCTATTGGCCGACGTTGGTGAAAGCCCCGCCCTGTACTACATGGCCGTCTCTGGGTTTCCTGTTCCTCTCAGGCAGACGCGTTCTTGCTCCCAATCGGCCGTGCACTTCATCTACTCTTGCTTTACAGTCCTTCACCGGGAGGATCTGGAACAAATAGAATTACAGTTAATAGGGATATGTAAAAGTTGAAGTTGGACGTAGGCCCTGATCGTTTGGATGGGGTGAAAGCATAGGCCTTGGTCTAGCATTCATGTTTTCATGTTTACAAATAGGCCTGTTCTAGGAATAGAGATTCTGGTTAGACCTGACCTAAAATCTGTGATGATACGTATTTCAATATAAAAAGGTGTACCAATAAGACCTAGGCATAGGCATATTCATTGGTTGCATCTATGAATTGCCCTTTGTTGCATGCAGAGTTTGTTTTGTTTCTTAATAAATGGAGACCAGCAGTTGTCTTACTGCTAAAAGAGAAGCCTCCTAAGACCTGGTGGAAAACTGGAGATCCTCTAACAGATTGTTTGCTGGGTGAGTAGCTAGGATCTTGACATACTTAATGCAGGAGGGATAGCCCAGGCTTACGCCTGCTTTTAACTTCTGAAAGGGGGATATAGGAGATGGTTGCCTCCCACAAACTTGACTGTTTGCCCTGTCCCTCCATGAGCTATCAAATTCCTTTTTCAACAGCATCTCCATACTAAACATATCAGGAACCCATTTCTTATTATGATATGTCTATTTTGAAGTAAAACCAGTCACTAAGAAGTCAATAGAACAGCAGGGTCAATTGTTATTCTTAGTATGAGGTTCAGCAAACTGTCTCTTTATTTATGAGTCTCTTTTTCTTTTAATTCTTTATCTGGCATGTGAACTTATGTAAATGCTGGGCTGGTGAGAACATATTTATAAATGGAACAGAGGTGGTGGATGGAGTCATGCCATTTTCTACCTATTCACACTTTGGAGACTTGGTATTCTTTTGCACCCAGACACACTCGTGTACCCACCTTAAGCTGAAGTTGAAGTTCAATTTAAAAAAAAAAAACAAAAGTAGACAGATATAGACAGTCATAGTACACTCAGTAAGTCTTTTCACTTTATATTATTTCCTCATATATTTCCTGTTATTTTTCCAGCAGATTAACAGTGTTTTTGGATGTGTATATGCCAAGTTGCTGGAGTCTGATGTGAATAGTCTGCTGTCAGTTTAATTTCATGTGCCACCTTGACACTTTTGCCCTTGAGAAATCTGTAGAACCTCAAATGATTCAGTATTTTAACTTTTGATGATGGTGCTAGATGGTATCTATAGGATCTAGATCAGGGGTGCTCAAAGTGGATGTTCTCAAAGGCACTTTGTGTGCTGGATGCGGCCTGCAGGCCGCACTTTGGGCACCCCTGATCTAGATGGTAACTGATGAGACTACCAGAGTATGCTGAATTTGACTATAGGTGACATGTGGGCTTCCTTTGAGCAATTTCAATGTTTTTTTTGTTGGTTGTCACGGGTTGACGAGATCTAAGGTTGTTGGAAAAGCCTCCTGTCAAAGTGAAATTCATTGAACCAATTCTGAATAGTCCTTGAAGAAGGGGAAGCTTCCCTTAGAGCCTCTGATATCTCAGAATGGCACATGCTTGAAGAGAGACTAATCCAGCAATACCAAATCATGACCTGTTAGTCATAATTTGAGGGCTCTGCAGATGAAATTTCTCAAGTTCACTGCATATAAAATTAAACAAACAGTGAACTATTCTCTCTATTCCTGAAACTTGGCATTCATGCATCCAAAACACTGTTAACCTGCTGGGGAAAAAAAAGACAGGAAATAGATAAGGAAATCATGTTAAGTACAAGGACTTATTGACTACCCCTCATATAGTCCTACATTTTTAATCATTACATATATTCTTTAGTTATACTCTAGTAATATATCCTATAGTTATAGCAGTATAACCTCAGAGAGTTAGATAAAGGTATCACAAGAGTTTAAACCAAGTTCAAACCAATTTGGCCTGTTTTGGCTAATAGGTTAGAATCTTATCACCAAGAGGAACTTAACATGAATGACATGCAAAAGTAGAAGTAGGAAGAAAAAGGAAGTCCTAGATCAGCAACAAATCAAAATATTAGTAAGATGTAAGTATCAACATATAGCTTCCATAAATTCATAAAAATTCCCAACTTTTTCCATCTTTGGGACAAGAGACATCCTCCACAGGGAGGGGGGGGGGTCTATATTTTAATCCAATAAATACTCAAGAGGTTTCTTCTTGAGAAACTTGAACACTGACAGGCTTACAATTCGTGTCATTGAGAAACCAATGAGGGACATTTGAGTTAAAGTCCAAGTCCCAGACCAGGGAATGATTATTCAAAGCTCATATACAGCCCTAATGAATATTTTTACAGGAGTTCATTACAGTATATTCACCCGCTGCAAGTTCAAGTCCATAATATTCATAGGTTAAGACCACAGTCTCCCATTTCAGTCTTGACCACCAAAATTCAAGCTGGATTTGAGTATGAAATGGTTGGGTAATACTTCCCAACAGTTACAGGTCAATTGTAGATCCATTTATTAAGATAGGCCTAGGCCTAATAATGTTTTTGGATTTTAGTTCAAGTTGGATTTCAAAGCATTCCACCACTAAAACTAAAGATGTCATGAAGTTATATCCAATCCATGAGAGAAATGCTCTTTAGGCCTACCTTTTTCCTGTAGTTATCATGCCAGTACTGTAGGCTTATCAAGTGTTAATAATAAGGAAGTTCAGCTTTCAATAGTGTAGCTTTCTGGAATGAAGAAGATATTACATGTGGGTTTGTAACATTATCTGAAGGAAATCTTGAAGTTTTTCTTTGCCTAGGGACTGGAATCAGTTGATGAAACAAGATGCATACTAAGGAAAAAGTAGATAAAACCATAGGCTAGACCTTGAATGCAAGGTGAGCATTCCCCCCCACCCCCTATGACATAAGAAGGAACTTCCACCTCCACCTCTCCTATGTAATTCCTGTAAAGGACCTTTTAGGACATTCACTGCCTTAATGGTAAGTGATAATCAAGAAATCTCATTCAATCTGTTGAAATTTAGTTAAATTGATCTAATTCAAGTATCAGTTGCACTGTCAGGGTAGCAGATGGTCTTTTTGATAGTTTGATAGCTTCCATCCAAGTTATTAAACACACTGCAAATTTGGAAGTTTCTAAAAATGCCTAACAAACCAGCTGGAAGCTTAAGAGGCTGGCAGTTAATGTACAAACGGCAAACCAGCAGATGAACAAGAATTGTTCTCTCTGGAATTACTTCCATGGAATTGGAGTCTTTTATATTCCTCTGAAATATTTCCATAGACAATGGATATCCATGGGAATGAGCTGTCAAGATAATTTACTTGCATGTATAAACCCACCCATTAGTGCTCAATTTTTTTTCATCACAAAATCCTCAAATAGGGACCTACTTTGGCTGATAAATCTACCATACAGATTCAATATTTCCTCTACATATAACATGCACTCAATATCTCACTCCCTACTCAATTCTACCACTTTTCCATGATTCCTTATTGTTTAAATGTAAGCATAGTAGAGACATTATTTTTTATATACATTTATGTTCCTCAAAATACTAGCACTTGACTCTTCATACAAATAAATCTTAACAAAATTTGACATTTTTGTATCCTGTGCAAATTAAAAAAATTGCTAGATCCCTATTTAGGGGTTGTGAGACATAACAGATAAAAGACATGCCCCTTGTGACCAACCTACACAATTTGAATCATAAGATTTCCTTTTCAAGATTCAAGGGGTAGCCGAACCTATCATAAAGTGAATTAACCACTTGCTAGTCCTAGTACAAGTCTGTGTACATTGAATTCAGTAGTTTCTGATACTGAATGATCTAAACAGTGGTATATTTGGTTTAAGTTGGAGTTCTGAGGTTTTGTGTTTGGTGGCCTTACCAATAATACTGGTTTTGGTGGTGAAGTTCGATATGTTTCAGTTGACAGAGACAGCCTTGCATAAGAGAGCGTAACCCTACACACTAGCACTGGAGTCATATGAAAAACTGTGAACTCAAATGGGTAAGATTACAGCCATATGGAGATGCTATGCTGTTCATCATCCCAAGCAGTTTTGGCCACATAGCTGAGATATATGTACTTCAGGATTCCTACATGGCCAACTTCTTTGTTATCACAGTTTGTTTTGTTTCAACGTCAATAGGCCAATAATTTTCTCAAGCTTAATTTACTGTATACTTACTCATCTCTTCACTCTTCACCCTTCCCTCTAGTTGTCTCTAATAGAGCATGGGGTTATCTATGATACAGATTTGTTCACCTTGTATTCTTTACAGGAGGAAAACAATACTCCTGTCTCATTAGATTGATATTGCAGAATAATAATAGGTTTTTATTTTTCAATGTGGCAATTTTTGGACTTCTGTCTGGAAAGAGCATTTCTAAAAGACTGACAGTTGTATAGCTTGGTTAAGAGCGCATGGAAATCGATTTCTTGCATTTTCCATGAATACTAAAGTTGCTTCACACTCTCTGAATAAGCTAAGTGTGGAAGTATATCCCTGTGCCCACAAAGTCTCCACTTCAGCTTTTGCTAGAGAAAAAAATCACCAAGGAACATCCTACAAGGCAAGAATGAATAATGAAAGGATTTAATTCTCTTTCTTGGAGCTTCAGTGCAAGCAATTACATTTAGTCAATGAATCTGGAGGTACAAGGAAAAAATACCAATTTGTTCAACTATAGGCCCATATATATTAAAAAATAGGCCTATATGAGTGGAATTTTAATAATTAACCAGAATGACTCACTGCGAAAGTGCTGAATTTGCATTCATTGAGTTTAAAGTGTGATGCTCACTTTCATCTGAGAAAAAAAATCAAAATGTAAAAAGATTGATTCTTAGGTATGAGTTTTTCATGGTAATGAGTATGGAGAGAATAGTTACATTGGTCTCAAGCTTATGGTTACTTTAGTCTGTTGGAGTTTCACTATAACCATGTATTTATCAAGCAGATTCAGAATGAGACCTGCAGGATAGCAGTTTCAAATGTCTTTCATGAGTCTCAATGGCAACAGTTTTTAGCTCGTTTACTATTTCAAACAAATGTTTCCTTAATTAGTTCCCCTGAATCCCAAGAAGCCTCTATTAAGAGTCACCACTTCTATGTCTCCAGCTGGGCTCTATGGTGGCGCTTTAAATTCCAGGGAAAGACATTCTGCATTTCACAAAGTATAGATTCTTTTGCTCCCAGGATGTAAAATGCTATGTTAGTGATGGCTTTGCAGTGTCTGCTTTAAAACCCAGGACATTTTTCTGTCAGGATCAAACGAATGGTTCCTAGCACAAAAAGCTTCATATGATTTTGGAATATTGAGGTAGATGCCAATATGATTCTGATTGGAAATTCTTGTGCCTGCCAAATTTAGTTCAGGTTGCTTTCATTTGCTGGGATTTGCAATGTTTTCTCAAAAATTGAAACTCTGGTATACTATCCCTAGGTGATCTAATGAAAAATACTGTCACCCAGCCTTGCCCATGAAAATGAATTTATCTTGTTGCTTGACTAGTATTGGACAATGATAGCCTGCCTCCAGAGACCAAGTGCAATGGCACCATTAAGACTTTCAGAAAGTCTAAGCCAGTCAATGGCTTCAGAAAGTCTCAGACCTCAGCACTCCAAAACAGGAATACATGGCACACTTTCCTTTGACTCCCCAGAATTTCAAAAGAAACACTTGGCATTTTCTTTGCTCATGGGCAATCAGCAATACCATCTGAGTGCTGGTGCCTTCTGGGAGCTAAAAAAGGGCCTCTGACATAAAAGGAAATAGCCCATCTTTCACTCCATTGTTTCAAGTTGTCCCAGTTATTCTTCTAATTAAAGATGAAGCACATTCACAATTAAAAAAAAAATCAAACTGGATTTCGGATTAGAGTTTCTGTTGGGCGAAATGAGAGACGAAACTTTGATAAATTGTTGTGCCGTTTCTCACGCCATTCCATCTTTGTCCAGGTGGCAATAACTATTAATATATTTACTTGGGCTGTCAAGACCCATTGATACATCGATGTTTTCATCAGACATCGAAGTGCATTGGCATTCGCAGACGTCAGAAAAAAAAATTTGCATGCGCGTAAGTAACGCGTATCGTTGAAATGATTGGAGTCCATAGGACCTCAAAAATGCCCAGAAAACGAGAGAGAAAAAAAAAGGATGGGTAACGAGACGAGACGACAGAAGCCACTCTGGATAGACCGGTATTTTTCTTGCCTATCCGCCTGCGCCAGCCTTCGGCCACTCGCTGCATGTGACCGCGGCGCAGCGCAGAAAGGAATGAGGACCGTGGAGACCTCTACTCCGAGACTGACGTATTTATCCGGGCCAGACAATTTCCGACCATCCTTCTTCCTGTTACTCACCATTTAGCAGTGATTACATATTTTCCGATGCATCGATGTTTTAAAAGCGGCAATTGTGAGTCGTGACTGCCTAAACTTCTATTGGGCAGCCTTGATAATGTTGTGCATTGACGGAAAATGCATACCTTTTCCACATCTCCGTATTCATTTTACTTGTGCATCTAACATGATTGCCCCAAAACATCCCCGCACGCCATATCGTAATTCAAGATATCAGTACCTGTAGACTTATGTGTCTATCAAAGTTCAATGAATCAGCTCAAACATGGCACTGGAAATCCAGAATGGAGCACAAATTTATCTCCAATCCAGGTGGATTTTTAAAGCTGAAATACTGAAATCAGATTTCAGCACATTCATACTCTATATTTATATATCAAGGTTTTGTTACACAGCCAATCAACTAGGGACTGACTGGCACCAGATGGTACCAGATTGGTTGTCATAGGTTATACTTGGTAAAATTGTCAAACATACTGAGGGATTCTGCAGTGTGATTTTTTTTTTGCCACCAAGTTCACAGCCATTCTTCCAATTAGGCCAATATTGTCTGAACATCATGAAGTCTGCTCTCATCAACATATTTTCGTCTTCTAGACAGATGATGTTTTCAATGTTATCTGCTTTTATTTAATATATCATTTGCTTCCATTTGACTGGAAGACCATTGATAAATGCATTACTTATCATTTGTAATCTTGAAAAGCATGCATCAAATTCATCGAGGCTGGTTTTTGTCTTCTTTAGGTGCAGTAATTCTGCCTGTGAATTTTTTAAAATGCATTTTCTTAGCATATACCTGTACTGAAGGAGAATCTTAGGTCAGGTACAGCACACTTGTAATGTGTGAGAAAGAAATGGATGAGATGCAGCTGCCACCACCACCAAGAATTCTTCCTACAAGATCAGCTTCCTCCAAGATGGGGAACCAGAGGCTACCAAACCTCCTTGACACAAATGCACCCTTTGTCTGCCGTTTTTCAGCCAGAGAGGGTCCCACATTTACTAAGGATCCTGTGGCTCAGGGGATCCTTGAGGGTTCAACACTTGCCAAGAAATGGTACCGATATCAGCCAGTTGTGTCATTGCCGAAAATTACTCCTGCGAAGACAGAAGAGGTTGATGTTGACAAAGATTCCCCAGTACCTCAGGAACAAAGTGAATGTAAAATTGAAAAAATTCAGGGTGCAAATTGTGATGTTACCAGTGATTCTCAACCCAAGGATGTAGGCCTACCGAAGCATAGTTCTGATATCAAATGCTCATCAGAGAATTCCTGGGAATCCCAAAGTGAGGTGCCCAACATGGAGCCATCACTTCTACATGGTGAAGACATCAGCTCAAACCCTGCTGACCCTGAGACTGACAAAATTATGACAGGGTACAATCTTGAAGTTAGATGCATAGAAAGTAGTGAAACAAGCTCAGAGCCCATACCTGGAGAAGTGGACATGGATGATTCCTGTCTGAGAAAAAGACGAAGATTAAGAGTGCATCGAACTACTGATTTGGATTTTCTTGTCCAAGATTGCAGGAAATATTTAGATCTCGAACTGAAGAAAAGCAGGAAGAAAAGGGCAGAAGAGAGTCTTCAGCTGAATTCATCGCCAGATCAACCTCTTAAGAAGAGGAGAAAATCAACTACAGTGTGGGCACATCTCCAGGACCTTCGTAAGATAGAAAAGGCACACGGTGGCCAGCCTAGAAAGGGAAGATCTGCTTCAACTGGACCAAGACAAAGTGAAGGAAGTGAGGCCAGCAGTTATTCGCCCAAAGGTGTGTCTATACTAAAGCCCAATGTAGAGATGTCCAAGGGAGAGCAATACTCAGATGATTCCGATGGAGCTGTGCCTCAACTTGAGTCAAATATTGGGCAGATCAACACACAGCACCTTGCAGACCCATCTCATGAAAGGGTCTCTCAACCAAAGTTGAGTGCAGAGAAACCTGAAGCCAAGCTATCATCAAATGGAGCTGTGCCCATTGTGAAGTCAAATGCAAAGATGTCTGAAGCAAAGCAATCATCCAGTGGAACTGTATGTATACTGAAATCAAGTGCTAAGATGTCTGAAGTCCAGAAGTCATTACGCATCCCTGATGGAGCTGTGTCCATATTGAAGACTAATCTGAAGAAGCCTGAAGCAGGGCCATCACCCAACTTATCAAATGGTGCTGCCTCTATCCTTAAGGAGAACCTTAAGTCCAGGGAGAAAAAATCACCTGAAACTCTTGATAAATCAGTATCTGCACTGAAACAGGATACAAAGAAATCTGAAGCAGATTCTTCTAGCATGCGTGATAAAGAAGCTTATACACTGAAGCAGAAACTGAAGAGAGAAGTAAAATTTGCATTGAAACCACTTCTGAAGAAGGCTGCAGCAGGCCAGTTAACAATAAATTGTGATGATAAGGAACATGGAGAAAGTTTGAGAGGGAATACCTCCAGAGCATCAACTTCACAAGCACCATGTGCTACAAAGCAAAACATTGAAGTGATTGATCTTGTGGACAGTCCACCAAGAAATGTGAGCAACTTGGTGCTACAGCAGAGAATACAACCTGCTGTAACATCAGGTACAACACCAGAGGATTCAGTGAGTACAAGTAATATTCCTGCACCAAAAGCTGAGGAAAATGGTAGCCATACTTCACCTATACAGTCTCCTGAACGCAGTAAATTAGAAAGTTTGGGTGTATTTGAATTCACTGCATGTACCATCCAAGAAAAGAAAGATGACTTGAGCATATCTGAGCTGGATCAGAACCTCAGAAGCATTGTTCAAGACATGATTTCCAGTGTTGGAGAAGTGGTTGACGAAGATCGTCCCAAGAAAGACACAAGCGGAAAGAAGAGTGAGTCTAAGAAGGGTGTTGCTCATGATAAACCCCCTCAACGGGAACCACATGGACCGAGAAAAGCCAAGAAACGATTTTTGGATTCATTGCGAATGAGACGCCGTGGCCTCATTAAGCAAGAGGCACCAAAAAAAGGAGGCAATGGAAGCAATAATGTTAAAGGAAATCAAAAACGAGAGGCACCTTCATTAAAGGTAGCCAACAAAAGATCTAAAAACTTTGTGAAAAGAAAAATGCCTGATGCACCTCCATCCAGAATTCAACCATTGAACAAAGTGTTGACAGTAAGATCACTCAAGTTTGATGGCAAGCAATGGCAGGAGTCATCTAGTACCAATAAACGACCAGAGCCCTCAAATGATGGGAAGAAGAAGGAAGAAGAAAGGGTATACTTGAAAACAGTGTTGAGTCCACATCGTCTTCTTCCATACCAGTGTCCCCATCACACTTCCCTTTCAGATCGTTTTTCCAAGCAACAGTCAGCTTCTGTTCATCACAAAGAAGCTGAAATTGAAGGACAAGACCAAATTGAGATCATTGCTAGTGGGGCTCGTCCAGACTCCTCTTCAGGCACCTTACGAAAGGGCAAGAAGGCAGAGGTCCCAGCACCACAACGTTCGGCCTGTAAGTAATCTGTGTACACAGAATCTCCTGTGTTACCTGCCCCTTTAACATTTCTTTATTTTGGTTCTGTATATAGCCCACCAGAAACTGCTGGAATTTCTGCAACGGGAGGAAAGTGTATCATTGGAAAAGCCTGAGGTGGGTAACACAGTAATGCGGCTGCGATCTAGCTCCCGTATTGAGGGGAGCCTTCCCTATGCTAACCTTGCCCTGCGAAAGTACCAAAATTTCATCCAGATCATCCTGAATTCAACTACTACATCTCTAATGAATGCATTTGATGCTCAGGTAGGAATCCGCGTATATCTAGTATCATGTTTAGAAACTGCAATTTTGTTTTGCTCATGCCTATGATCTGGATAGACCCTGGAAGAGCTGACTGAGGTTCTCAACACCCTTGCAGCTGTTGACTCAGTAAAGATGGTCCTATTCACATCTGCTGGAAGTACATTCTGCCAAGGGATCGATATCCCTTCCCTTCTAATTCAAGATTTCCAGAATCGAAGATGTTACATCAAGAGACTCATCAGTGCTCTCAGGTGAGAACTCTTTCCTTTTTGTGTCCATTGGTCTTCTGTTGAGAAATGATTAAGAACTTGTTGCCTCTACTGGACTCAACCAAATAGGAGGTTGTGCCAAATGTTCTTGACAAAGACATGGTGGAAGATCTATGATACATTTTTAGTACTTTTCATAATATCCCAAGTGCTCAATGTACCTAATCCCTTGAATGAATAATAAAAGGTGATATCCAATTAGCTGTTGGAATATTATTGATGATTCATCCAAGATCATTTTTACATGCATTTTTGCATAAACTACCATTCATTCTTTATGCTTGATTCTCTTGTGGAAGAATTCTTTTAGTTGATTCCTGAAGAAGACCCCTGCAGATCTTCCCTTATGTATTGCTTGTACTTCTTTTGTAGTGTACTATTGATATACTGGAGGTGTTCAAATGAAAAGGGGACTTTTAATCGCCTACCTTAGGCTACCCTTAGGCCGCCCTTAACCCCTTGAAGACACGCACCTTTATGCGTCATGGAGAAGTCATGCTACTGAGGCCCATGAAACTCATGGGTTGTTCACTGTGAGTGCTCACAGGGGAAAAAGTATCATAAGAGGAAGTAATATCAGAGGTAATTACATGAAACAAGAAACAGTTTCTTAAAAGCCCAAATTCCAGTGTATGATGGACATGAAATTGTCCAATACCTGGTGTGTTCAAGGGGTAAAGCTGTAACAGCCCTTTTCTCCTTTTCATTTGAACCCCCTTGTAGTTGGAATGTTGAATGGGTTAACCTTACTAAAAGAGAAAAATACTTTCCAATTATAAGGGACAAAGTGGAAAGGGCTCTTGTGGACTTGGTGCCAATATGTGATAAGCAATTATCTTTGGCAATGCTCCAATGGCTACTTTTGTATTGCAGAAAAACTTGTCCAAGATTATCTTAATTAGCTCTCTGGGAGCTTTTAACATATTAAAAAAATTCGCAATTACCCATAATACATGTTTGATGCATTGATTTATTATTAACAAGGATATTCAAAATCTTTAGAAGGTTTAACAAATTTTCAGAAAAAATCAGGATGGGAAGGCAGGTGGCAGGAATAAAAAAAAAAGTTCACTGTAGACTTATGAAAAGGGATTCTTCTTTTAAACATGGTGAACACCCTTTGCATGATAATAGTATATAGAAATAAAAGCAGTAGAGGTTTCCTTGTCACTCGGAGTCAATCAGGTACCATGACTTAATCTTCAGAACAATGCAGAGTGCAGGCAGTTTTTTAGGTAATATCTATAGAACTGTGGCTTCATCTTGGACCTCTCCATTTGCCTTAACTGTGAATTTTTTTCTTGGCAGGAGTTTCCTGAGTGCATTGATCTCGTTCCCTAAAACATTGGTGGCAGCTGTCCACGGTTCTGCCATTGGCCTAGGAGCTACAATCCTTCCCTTCTTTAACCTGGTTTATGCCAGTGACAAGGCTTGGTTCTACACTCCTTACAGTGCATTGCGCCAGCGGTCTGAGGGAGGAGCCTGCATTTCCTTTAAGGACCGTGTTGGAGCTTTGCGTGTATGTGGCTCTTCCTAATTTGCACAGTTTTCATGCATGGCTTATTCTATGCTCTCTGACAGGTATCACTCTTGAGATCTTGTTCTTCCATGGTAGGCACAGGCATTGTTGGTGTTTGGAGTAAGATTCACAGCAGAACAGATGTTTCACAAAGGTTTCATCACAGAGGTCATAGTGGGGACATCCCCACTCCTTGACTTTATCATGCCAAAGCTTCAGTCCTGGATGTCAAATGATTCAGAGGTAATGCATTATTTAAAAGGCATCAGAAAGAATAACCTGATTCTGTTTTAGAATCTTTGTTGCTGTGCAAGAGGTGCTGTGCTGTATGGGAATCCTCTTTTGGCTCAGTACTCATTTTTTCTCCTCAATGCACATCCAAAAGAATCTGGATTTACATTAGTGTCATACATTCTGCCCTTACAATAGATGCAAGATCTCCTTCATGCAAAATCATTATGATGTGTATTGTCAAGTTCAACTCCGACTTGCACAGAAAATGCCAGATTTTAAATGTCTACATCTTCAACTGGATACTTAGATCCTTGAATTTCTATCTCATTTTGCTCCTAAAAATCTAAAGTATGGCCTCAGATAGCAGCTGTCATCTATCATAGTCAAACTTAGTTGGTTCCACAGTAAATCAACAATCTTAATGGTGGATAGGATGGCAATAACTGATAGAATGATCTATGATCTGCTTGTTCCCATGATTTCCACCCTTTGGTACATGTGAAAACTGCAGCCTATACTATCATGCCTTGGGATGTGGAATACTTAGAAGACACAATTTTATCCATTCTGGCTATGCAATAGCAGAACAATGGCTCAAATCCATAAAAGCATCTCCTAGAGGACATGTATGTTTTGGGCCAGCAAATGAAAATTTTCTAGAAATTTCCTAAAACTTCATATTTCAAGGAACTAACTTATGAAAAAAATCAAAGATCTGAATATCTAGTTGAAAAAGTTATAGCCATTTCATATGTGGCATTTTCAAACTGACACCATGTATTTACTGTATTTATTTAAGTATTCATACAAGAATGAGCCATACTTGTATCGCTTATGTACCAAGTGGAAACAGACTTAATAAAGCTCCCACAATGATGTTCAGCATGAACCAATTGAGACAAAAAAGTTGAGTTGAATGAAAGGACTCTATCCCTACTGAAATTTTTGCCAGTCCCTATTCTATAATCATGTCTCATTGATTGCCAGATTTATCAAACACTAATGAAAGTAACAATATGTTTTTCATTTAAACTCTATGTGGCAGGGGATCCTGAAGATGAAGCAAGAGTTTCAGAAGCTGAATCATGACGTGCAATCAGCTGTGTTAATGGAAGTACCACGGGAGTGCCAAAAGCTGGAAGAGGACTGGATGTCTCCTGATTTCCAGACAGCAGCTGAGAGATTCCTCAGTGATAACCAGGACCTTTTACGCCTCCAAGTACCACATCAGAGATCTTAGTGTATTCAATTTTATTTTATGTTAGAAAATGTTCATTGTGAATCCTGGGGAGGAAATCCTCATGTATCTCATCTGTAAGCAAGCATGAGATGAAAGCCAGCTTTACTTCATTCCCATTGGAAATGAGAGAGTCTAGATGGCACTCCATTCAAACTTGGGGAAACTTGAAGATGCATGATGTATTCATTGCTTTAGATCACCTTTTAGTGATTTTTCTTTGTTTAGCCTGCATTTCCTTGATGAATTGGGTTAATTGGGCTCTTGTCACCTTGTTCAGACTTTGCAATTTTGATGTCTCATATCATGTTCAAAGCATGAAATGAATTACAATAACTATTGAAAAAATTTAATATGTGATTTCTTCTTTGAAATTCATGAATTGCTTTGACAATAAATCTTGGAGAGTAGAAATGAACAATGACTCATTGCTAAGGCCAGAGAAATTATGTGAAACAGTGATTTTAAAACTTTTTCTGAATCTCCCAATAAGACCAGATCACATTATTGTGCCCTGCTCTGCTGGCAAACAAGCAGGAGGGGGTGAGCACTTTTCCTATTTCTTTGGTGCTGCACTTGATAAGTATTCTTCTCACTCACAGTGTTTGCTACATGAAGTAGCACATTTTCCTCTTGAATCACCATGTCCATCATGCCAATATCTCACACTCACATATGGGCATACCTTACAGTTCAAAATCCACTATGAAGGACAATGGATGAGATTTGTTTTTGTGAGGAAAATCTTCAGAATGAGGTATTATGCCATTCAACGGAAATCCAGATTTTTTCACAAAAATAATCTAAATGATGTGGTTTTGGCTGGATTACTCCATGAACTTCATCACCGTTTGACCAATAAACAAATGTTTATAAACACTTTTTCCAAGTGTTATGAACCCATTGCCCATTTGAGCCTAATCGAGACACTCCAGAGAGAATTCAGAGATCCATAGATTTTGGCCTGTGTACAAGAATCTACCACATGATAGCTATCATGATAATTATCAGGCAATAGGTCTATAATTTTCTTGGTTCTGTATGCAAGAACAAATTATAGGTATCTATCATGAGGCCTATTTTTATAGGTATCTTCTTACCTATTACCATAGGTATAAAATACCTATCATGATAGGTATTTGTGAATTTTCCTGATGACAACCTCCTATCCATTGTCTTGCACCCAGGAACAATGGCATGTGTATCTGCTCACATGACTGATCAGAGTGTTGTGTGATGATTTAATGGTATTAATCTGACCCTGTTTACCAGACTAGTGATTGAATTCTGATTGCTGCGGTTTGATACAAAGAACTCTACGAGATGTAATCTATTCCAGAGTAACTGCACTCAGCACAAGTGAAAACAAAATGCACTGCTATCCACCCTGGTAGCTCGTTATAAGCAGAATAAACAAGCGCTGTATCATAATAGATTGTAGAGATTTTTATACCTATCATGGTAAGTATGAAATGTTTCTGCCTATGGCCAACCTATCAAACTTATTTGATATCCCCCAAAATAGCTATTTTATCAGTTTTATTCATTCTTGCATACCAACCTTTATGTTTCCCAATAATGACCTTGTGCAAGAATGCCTTGCTTGTGACAAGTCTTGAAATCATGTATGGCATATAAATGGCTTGGTCTGCCACACCCATGAAATTCTTGAACAGGTTTATATGTGTAATGATTGAAGTCAGTTGAACCCTTACCTAAATTTTGTATTAGAATTACTGAGCTTCAGCTTCGAGCTAAACTTAACCCTTTTGCACTCAGCCTATTTTCCAAGTACCTGGCCTAAAACACTCTGGTCCAGAACTATATCACATACGTACCTTTTGCAGTTAGCACCTGTGTTTAGGGAAGCATTTTGAGCCATTTATGTAACTAAACAACAAAAACAACCTTTGAGCCATTTATGTAACTAAAAGAGCATGATTTAGACGGAGCCGATGGATTGGTGCGCCGAGCGTATAAGGGTTAAACACTATAAAAGAAATGCACAAAAGTTAAATTCATGAATATGCAAACTCTATATTTACAAAGTCTCATCCTCACCCCCCCCCCTAGATAAATACAAAACTCTGTATCTAAATATCATAAAATCGATAGGCCTATATAACAATTTTCTCCATCAAAGAGGCCTCCACAGGTACTGGATAAACTCAGTTACTTTTCCTTTTTTTTGGACTGTAGTGCAGACTGTTGAGTAATGCAAGAGCTCAGCAGCACATTCACAGAAATATGACTACCAACCTCATGAATTTTGCAAAAAAGAATAGCTTTTTGTCTTATGCTTACAAAATTACCTTTATCTGTGTGAAACCTTCCATAATGTCATCTTACCTCTATCCATGCTCTCCAGTTTTTCAACAGGAGGCTTTCTTGATATTGAAAGTGATTTTTTTGTTGACTGACAATGTTCTGAGAACTTTCTCACTTTGTTTCCTAATGACAATTTTTCTATTCGTGCACCATCTTGGCAAAAAATGGGAAGGATGGTGTCTCTCCTTGGGTGGATAGATCTTAAGGAAATGCAGAAGGCTGCGGTAAATGATAATTAGTATTTCTTGAAATGATGGCGCGTTTCCAAAGTAACAGTCTCAAACATCAATTACAATGGAAAGAGGCGAGAAGCGAAGAAAGGCATGACTTTCAGACTGAAAGCCTAACCCAAAGCAGTAACAAAAGCTTCTGTTTGAAATGACTCATTTCGCGAAAATGGAAATTTCACCCTTGGAGAGATTAATGGCATGTCGACTGCCAGTATCCAAGGAAACTATCAGCGTGGTCATTCACGAGGATATCAAAATGTAAGGAAAGCACAAGATCAAAGTACCCTCGTACATGTCTTCAGCCCAAAACACGTCAGGAGGAATATGAATACCTGGAAAGTATGAATGAGTCACTTGGCCGGTTAAAGATACAAGTATATTATGACGCTCGATGAAACATGGCACACTATATGCACAACTGGAAAATTAAAAATTCTCCGGCATGCATTTGTGAAAGCGCCGATCAAACCATGGAACATCTGACAAGCCCATGTCCCGTATATGACGGTGAAATCTTTGAACTACACTCGGCTTCGGGTTCTGCTACCGAATGGTTATCTAACCTCAACCTAAATTTATTAATTGTTGCTACCCAGCCATACGAAAAGTACATTATAAAACGCTGGAAGTGAAAACTGAAGTGCATGAGCGAGTATAGAAGCCCTGACCCCCACAGAGGCTCTTGCATGAAGTGGCTGGCCGTCGCGAGTGCTTCCCCGTTCTCTGAAGGGATGCCATCACCTCCTCCCAAGAATGGGGCACGGGAAAATCTCACTTCACTCTGATTTGTTTTCTTTTCATTTCCACCCTCTCGCGAGGGAAGAGACATCGTCCACGTTTTCGTGTTGACTAAAAAGAGACCAGGGCGTTGAAAATTGCTGGTCTGTGTTAACCTGAGTGTACAACCTTAACATCATGCAGAGGAAAGCAGTTCCATCACTCGTTAAATAATGAATAAAAATCTATTCGTGCATTGAATTCGCACGAGATAAAATGTTTATCGAAATCGACGAAAGCTCCAAGGTCGTAAACGTGACGCCAATCGAGGGAAGGTTGCCAATAGTACAGGTGCGATCATTCCTATCGACGCATCAGTTGCGCGTTCCACTGCGGTTCCGTGTCCTCCCCCTGACCCAGTTGACCGGAAATCGATAAATAGGGGAGCTCTAAAACGCAAAGGCAGATCCACACGGAAACAGACTGTGAACAAGCTGAGAAAACAGGCTCCCTCCCCCATGAGATTCCACGTCGAGACGGAAGCTGTAAGAGATTTGAGAATGGCTTCTCCACACCTCTTCCCAAATTCGACTTGAGAACTGGCACGCTCTTTTTATTATTCCTGGACGAAATAATATAAATGCCTGTGAATTGCAATTCCATTCAAAGTTGGTGAAAGTCGTTTAGAAGGCCTCGTTATCCATTCCTTTCTTCCGTAGCCCTTCCATGATTCTGTTAATGTTCCGGGTTAATAAGCTGAACGACATGGACATCGAGGCGAATTTCAAGGATAATATGCATTGGTAGAACGCTTTAAAATGGAGAAGGATGATAGATTGGGGGAGAAAAGTATGATTCCAGAAGCAAGTGGAGAAGTTGAAACGTCAGAGCGGTACATGCGTCCTAATATACGATGTCAGTACCCCTGATACATTTTACTTCATTCCAGATACACGTAGTACATCCGAGCGGCTCAAAGAGAAATGCTCCAAGCCAGACCGTTTCGTTCTTTTAATGATTTTCAACTGAGGTCGACAGTTGTTCATCTGGGTCCAACAGGACTTTCCTTTTATTACATCGTTAGATGGAGGTGGCGATTGGAGGAAGCTCAGTCTGCCTTGGGCTGGTCGAGGGAAAAAATGTGGAACACAATTGAAAAACACCGTATCAGCCGTGCACTTGCCTATGGGTTCCCACCCGCCGGGTCTTCATATATTATACATGCCAGAGAAATGCAATCCTGTTTGACGGCAATGAATGTTGCTCGAGCCAAAGAAAAAATCCTCTTAGAGCGATGCATTCACATAGAAGGCATCGTCAAACGAATTCTAAGAAAATTATGCAATTGCCCGATAAGAGGCTCTAATGCTGCAGGCAAGGTGCAAATGGACCTAAGGGTGCAGAGAGACCGGGACGGAAACAAAAGGAAGGAATCGCTGAAGAGACGAACTACTCTCTGACTGATGCTCGATGTGACCTTCTTCAGCATCGACCACTGCCATAACAGACACTTTCCGGATTCTTCCCAGGAACACGATATCTCATTCCGGTCGTGATCAGATCTGAACGGTATGCCATCACGACGTTGTCGCACCCCCACGGATGCCAACTCTTCCCCTTTTCTCCTGACAACTGAAACGATAGAAGTCATGTTCCCTGGACTGTAATCGTATCTGGATTGAGATCCTTCTCAGCCACAGGGCATCATGCCTGTCGGAATTCTCGAGCTTGGATATTTCAGGAAGTGCGGCTGCATTGAAGACGAACAGAAACGACGAGGAAAAACAGCTGATTTAAACAGTCGTTGTCGATGAAGCCCTCGGTCTCCTCCTCCTCCATCCTTCTTCACAGAGGTCCTCAATCATGGAGGACCTTGATGAGACGCTTTCGTTCAATCAACTTCAAGGGCCTAGCAAATACGAATGGGAGTGGATGCCGAATGCACTCTTCCCAACCAGATTTTTCTCCTAAAATGATGCAGGTGAGTTTATTCCTCCGTAGGTCAACGAAAGCACAATTGTCTCACTCTTAGAATAAGATCGCCTGTCAATCGCCTGTTTCTGCTGTCTTAGAACAGACTCTCAAATATATTTTCTTCCGGCATGAGGGCACCAATTCGCATCAAACTCTTTGCACCCGGAGTTCATATTTTAAATTTACATTCAAGATTCTGAATGTTGGTGTTTTACCTCCTGCTGGTCCATACTTTTCCGCTGTCGAAATTTCTCCTTGTGCCCGGCGACGGAATATTATTTGAAATAACATTCTCATCCCTGAAAAAATAATAATCCGAAAAGAAAATCTAATTACCGCTCCAATCAATTCACGTCGTGCGCCGGTAATTCTATATCCGAAATAGAATGAGTATTTCTGGGAAAGACTGGGATTCTTGGAAGAATTTCACAGAGTTTTGCGGGAGGAAACTGGACTTATCCCACTTGGAAAAGTAGAGGATCAAAAGTCTCTTAGGGTGGATTTTTGAACAGAACATTATCCGATAATGCAGCTTTATTTACCGGATTTATAATGCATTTTCTCTGAAATAAAGCTGCATTATCGGATAGTGCTCTGTTCAAAAATCCACCCTTAGACTCATAATCAAATATGAGCTCGTGGTATAGCACTAATCAGGGTTTCTACGTTTCTTAGTTGAAAACTTGAGGCTCAACGAAGCCCAGAAAAGCTGTATATACTAAATGCACATTATTTTTTTCATTAGGTTAGAATTATCCCAAAGTAGTCAGAAATGGGGAGAACCGATGGCCAACTTTCCTTCCCTCTGACAGCTATTTCTTTCAGATCTCAAAACAAAACCGAAAAGTATAACATGCCTTTTCTCAAAGAGATCAAAGGTAGACTAAGATGGAATGGTGCAGTCAATATTATATTATATGATGGTAAAAGTTTAGTTTATTATCTCAAGAGGGACGCGAGATTTCAGTAAGGAAATAGGAAGAGTCGTATATCTTCATTGCGGCTGCCAAGTTTCGAGAATTATCGGAGCGACGCGTGTCCTCCACCTGGCACATCCATACGGCACGCGAGAAGTCACCGACACTAATAAATTATGTTCAGATAATTAGAGTATTCCGAATGCAGCTACCGATCCCAGCAAAGAGGGAAGGGGGGAAAGGGGGGGGGGGGACGGCACCACCTTAAAAATTTAATCAGCTTGGTCCTGTATTGTGTAATCATTTCCCCAGTGGCCGCGTGCGATCACCTAGTTACGGGCCATGGCATGATCTAAATTATCGGAGCCCAAGTCTGAAGCCTATCAAGCGGAGAGAATGAGACGACCCAGGCGCCTCCAATTCCGTTAGAGATCATCCTGCTGGGAACGTTGCATCTATTATATGGCAAGACCCATGTTATCTCTTCCCGTCCTCATCCTCCCGAGAATCCCACCTGCGCACCGAAAACCGGAAAATTCGGAGAAAGAGACTCGAGACAGATCAACAAGGGGTTCAAGGCAGCAACGAGCCTCTCGAGCGAACGCGGACCCGCGCCCTCTCACCCCCGACAGCGCCCTCGGCGGCTGATTTTCTCCACAGGTGAGAAGGAAAGCGTCTCGGTCCACCCCAGCGGCGCTGAGAAAGCCGGGCTGAGATGGATCATAACTAGAAAACCTGATTGGAGGCAGGCTGCCTAATAGGGAGTCACGTCGAGGTATAGGTAACAACACGTCCGGTTTGAGAAAATTTAAACTTTTTCGTACAGGTATAATAGAATCCGTCTTAACGGCATAATAAACGCTATTAGCGTCATTAGGCTTACTAGCCATGGGTCCCCAAATTTCCCGACAGATTCTAACCCAAGGAAAGATAATTAACATGTGCAGCCAATTGCATCATGATGAACTACTTCTCCCTTCCCTATAGTTTATAGACACGCATCTACGCGGAATTGATGTAGGCCAAAGGTCGAGGATGGAACATCGTATATCAGTTTCTTCCTCCTTCACTCACCTCTTTCTCTTTTTTTCCCCCCCTCTGCAACCGGAATCGATCTCTGGGAAGGACTTCGGAAGAGTGCCTCAAAACTGGGACTGTCCCTGGTAAACCGGTGGGTCCGGTCACCTCACGATCTGGATGGAAACGTCCTTCGCTATCGACAGAAAGGTGACACGCACACGGATCGGAGATGCTTACTGAAAAGCCCGCGGAAGGAGGCGCGAGCATATTCGATTCGGCATCGAGTCTTCGTAATTGCGGAAGAAGAGACGCACGAGCCCTTCCGAAATCTGCCTCAAGTTGATTATTGAACGTTGAGCAAGTCAGCGAAAGTTCATTTGAGTTCATCATTCATGTATGAGCGAAATGACTCTTCATTCGCCGGCAGGGAAGACACCTCAGCCGAACATTGCAAAAATCCAATCAAGCCGCAATGCGCAATACTCTATACAGAGCCCTGCAATACACCGTTCTCGGACAGAGTTCGTCCCCCTCCCCCCCCCCCCCCCCATCGGAGCACTTCCCCAGATTGCAAGCAGTGACATCTTCCAGATGGGTGGTTCCGCGGATCATGTGATGAAGCGTATCCCCTGTTTTCCAATACTCCGAGAAGGAGTCACGAATCGAATCTGAGAGCAGAGCCGAGTGGAGTGACCCCTCTGCATCGCGTCGAAGGCACGCATCGAAGAGGAACGACTGGGGGAATCCTCACCTCACTTTCTCCCCGTGACCCCGACGACGATCGCAGGGAATCACGAACGGTCGGCCGGAGCCGACGTGGCCGTTCCTCTCTCGCGCTCAGGAAATCCGCAATTACGACTCGAGTGCGGAATCTCCGGAAATGAGAAGAATAAGGCATAACGAGTTGTCTTCGCCAGCTGCGGTTCGACGAGGGGCTCTGCAGGCTTTTCGCTTTCCTTTGTTTTTAGCTGCACGCAAGCGAGAAACTTTTCAGTGACGTCATCAAAACTCGAGTGTGATTGATTCGTCCGGAAGAAAACGGAAATCCTCAACTCGGAGCTCTGGAATAGGCACGATTTTCGCCGCCTTTCGATCGAACCGCCCCGATTTTATCGGGCGATACGCACCGATGAGGACGGACGGTTTCGCATCCGGCGGATTCCAGGACTCGGCGGATTTCTGAGCCCCGAAATAAGTGGACCGCGACGAATGGTCGAAAGGGGAGGATGGACCGTGCCGATGTACCGATGCCGATACGCCGATGCCGATATGCCGATGCCGATACGCCGATGCATCGGCGGGGGACTCGCTTTCTCTGTCCGACTTGGCCGATTTAATCGGATTTCCCGTGTTCTTTCGAGTGCCGCTGACAGTGATTCGCGGCCGTCGCGCGAAGTGTCGCGTCTGTCAGTCGCGTTTTCGCTTCCGTCCAGGTGTTTCTTCAACTTTCAAAATTAAATTTACTAATTGGGTTTTTGAACGTTTTCGACTCGCCTGCCGACCGACAAAGGAAAAAGTCGTTTCAGGCAAGTGTGAAAAATGCACGCAGCCCCGACTGTGGCTTTTGGGTGGGAGCACAACGATGAATGGAACGGCTTCGCGTCATTCAGGCGGAAAAAAAAATTGGAGAAAAAAAATCGGGGGAGGGGAGGAATTGGCGAATAAAGGAAAGAAACTATGCCGCTTCCGTTGTTTGAATTTGGCGGGGAGTGTGAAATGGTGGAAGGCGTCCTTTCCCTCCGTTTGCGTCGGTTTTCTACATGCTTGAGTCACTTGGGAAGTGTCTCGTCGTTCGTATGATCGAAGGGAATATGATATTAATCTGGTAAAAAAAAAGTTAAATTTAAATTTTAAAAAAATTTGAAAGCCGGTCGACATGGCTCGAGAGCGCACCGGGAAGAAGGCGTCGGCCTTCCGATCGACCGGATCGAAGGTTCGTGCGTTTGAGACTCGAAAGGAAGTGAAGGGGGAAAAGTGAAAATTTTTCCCGAAATCTGATGGGGGGGGCCAAAAGAGTGAAGGAAATCGGGAGCGAGAGAAGAGAGAATGCGCGGGAGGGAAGGCAAGCGGCCATTGCGTTTATTCCGCACTCGCCTTTCGCCTGCTTCTCACCCACTCGCTCGCTCTCTCGCATTCCCGTGGCTGTTTCCGCCGCGGTTGGCGTCCGGTGGCGGTTGGGATCCGTGGCGGATCGGGTTCCGCGGGGTGGGGGTCGGTTCGCGGCGGTGGGGAGTGGGGGACGGGATGGAAAAGTTGGTTTTTCGGGAGTGTTTGGGAGTGGTTTCGCTGCTCGGCCGCAGTTCGATCAACCTCCGAAATGGCGTTTCTTTGTTCTCTCTGCCCAAGGGGGGAAAATATCTCTCGGCCCGGGCGTTGCACTTATTATTATTATAATCCCTCTCGTTCTAGGAGATTTATCATCCCGAACCCCTCGGTTTCCCCCCACTCATCCCTTTTCTCGGACGTTTTAGGTATCGGAAGGGACCGTGGATGCGAGGGGAGGGCCGTTTTGAGGCCGGGAAACGAGTTGCCTTTGTCAGGGGCGACGCCACTCATCTCTTCACCCCGGTTCGTTCTCCATTCATTTCCTTCTCATTTTAAAATTTGTTTTTGGTGGTATCGCGAAGGAGAAAGCATAGGCCTGATGCTGATGAGATGGAAGCTGAAGCGGTAACGTATTTTGGAATCTTAGGCCTAGGCTGCGGTGCCAGGAATTGCTAGGCCTAGCAGTGTCTATTAACCTTTTCATATGCAGACAAGCTTGAAGTTTTCAAGGCTTTCTGATTAGCCAGGCCTAGCTTTTTCTCTGCCTTGTGCCAACTTCAGAAGCCCAACATGACTAGACGTTGCTGGCAATTTATTTGAGTGATTGATATTCAGGATGTGCTTTGTCAGGCCCATGAAGGCTCAGAGGTCTCACTTCCATGAGTTTGTGTTGGCACTTCCATTTGTCAACATAGGTCTAACCTGTTTCCCATGCTCCGGGCCTAGGCCTCCGTTCTAGGATTAGCCCTAGCCTTGACACATGTGGAAAATTCCATGATATTTAAAAGAATTTATAGTGACATGGTGAAAGTTGAATGAAGTCTTATGGACTGGAAAATCATTCATATCTTTTTGCATTGTTTTACTTGTGAAGTTAATAGACATGGGACTAGTGTAAACTGGTCTAGGCAAACAGGAAAAAATGTGTCAGCAAACCAACCTTATCCATTGGCTGATCTTGTTGCGCAATGTGTATCATTTGGCATTGCTGGTGTACATTTGGCACATGTCTGCAACATAAGCTGTCCGTATCTTATTTACGAAACACTAAGACCTGAGAAGTCAAAGGATGTAGCCAACTTTAGGGCAAGGAAACAAGGTTTTATCATTTTATATTTTTGCTGCTCAGTTTTGGTTTCAGCCTATACTGGTGCTCTTTACAATGTAGATGTAGGCTTACTGGTGTTACTATTTCAACTGCATGGGCTGTCTAAGGATAGCACTGATCCATGCCAACATGTGGGTACTACTTGCCCTGTTATTTAGGCTAGGCCTGTTGGTGATGATATTAAGCAGGAGTCAACTCAGCCTGTAATTGGAATCAGACAGTGCCTTAAAGATAGAGGACTTGAGGGATGGATAGTTAGACTGAGACCATGGTCTCAGTCTAACTAACCCCTTGAATATTCTGGATCTCAACTCCTGCATTGATGACTTGTATGTACAGCAACTGCTGCCAATGAATTGATTTTTGATCCATTGCACCCTCTCCATGCCTTTCTGAATGATGCCACAGGTGCTACTTGAATGATGTCTGCAACCATACCATAGCAAACTTAACAATTTTTGAGAGGAGAATGTTATAATACCAGTAGGCCTAGGCTTTTAAAACATGCATAATTGTGAAAGAATTCGAGACCGACAGTATTTTTAGGACCACCATACTTGATAGTAACCTCTCACAGCCTCTAAGTTCTAAGTGTACAGGATGTCTCCAAATTACTGATACACTTTTATATTTAAATAAAGTATAATTATGTAAGATGAAAATTTGGAGGTTCCAACATTGCAAGTTTATTCATACATAGTCTTGCTGCTGCACCACCATGTGGGCACCATTTGTGGCTCGAACCACATCCAGGTGATAATTAATTCCTGCCAGTGTATGTACCAGCATCTCTAGTGTAACTATAGCATTTGCTTCTGTTATGCAACATTGCAGTGTTGCAATGTTTCTACATTTGTGATCATTGTCTGGTAAACAATGCCTTCACATGCTCCCACAAGATGAAATTCAATGGAGTGATGCTAGGGGAACATGGAGGCCACTAAATAGGAAAACCATGACCAATCCACCTTCCAGGAAATGTTTGTCCTGGAACTGCCATAGGAGGTGGCTCCAATATGGAGGTGTCTTGTTCCCCTAGCATTCGTTTTCACTTCTTGTGGGAAGGCAGTTCCGGTATTGATGGAATAGGCATAGCTGTGAGTGGCATGATAAATGGCCTGGAAAATATGTTGATGTGATACTGTAAAGACTTCATACCTGAAGTTTCAGGCTGATGTGAAAGCGGTGTTGTGTTCTTGACACATTTGTTACAACTGATCTGCTCTTTCCAGGTCTCATATCAAACTGAGCCACTGGTTTCAAAATGAAATTCAAGCTTGAAATTTGTCATCTTTAGGCTTGGAAAGGAAGCATTTGAGAAGGGATGGTGCTGACTCGGCAAGCAACGGCAGCGACCGAGGGTCGGGCAGCCCTTACCCTCACAGACCTGCCTTATCGCAGCCCTCGCCCTTCTACTTCCACTGCTCAAGTACAAGAAAAACTTCACATCCTCAGCCTGCCTCCTGAAATACTTGAGCACATCATCGACTTCCTCCCATACCAGGAGGTTGCACATGTCCGATTGGTGAGGCTTAATGAAACCTATTTAAAACTTTATATCAATCACATACCTCACAGTAACATTCCCTCTTGAATCAGCAGCTTCTCATTGCTCATTTGGTTATTAACTCTTTCACTGCCAAGAACTTAAATGCCCAGGCAACCTCTCCTTGCCTAGCATTGCAGTGGTGGTTCGTCACACTGAACATGCCATGGGGTGTGAACAGCAGTGAAAGGGTTGAAAGGTTGTTGACCTCCAGGGTAACTGGGTTTTCTTCCTGATATCACATCTCATCCTCAGTTTATCCTGGAAACTTCATCTGTCCTTATTCTTCCAGTATTGACCATAAGAAACACTCTTCATGCCCTCATGATTGGAATCTAAATAGGGTGGATGTTGCGAGTTGCATGGTCTTTGAAATCTGACTGTAGTGCCATGTAATCTTGTGAAAAGAAACTTAAAATCTTCATATTCAGCAATCTGTCCTGATTCTTTATAAGGCTGCTAAGGCTGATCCTGGAGTGCCACAAAGGGTTATGATAATAATTGGCCAATTGCAATTGGATCCTATTTTTCCTTTTAACCTCTGTCTCTTCCATGCATGCCAAATGAGAGGAAACTGTAATGGCCCAGTGGGAGTAACTTGGCTGATTTCCATCTTCCATGTTGAAAAGAAATATTGCATATCTTCTTTTGCAGCTGGTTGTGCACATTAAAAGGCTTTGCATATCTCCATGACTAGCCATAAATGCCTCTAGACATCAGCATACCATGGGAAATGAGACATCCCATGGAACCTGTTCTAAAAGAAAAAGGCATATTTTTGTTCTTCTCTTTGTTACGTTGGGAAGAGTCCCACCTCTTTCTGCAACTTTATTAGATCAAGTAAGGCCAAGGGTGAACCCATGTTAACATCCCATGGAACCTGTTCTAAAAGAAAAAGGCATATTTTTGTTCTTCTCTTTGTTACGTTGGGAAGAGTCCCACCTCTTTCTGCAACTTTATTAGATCAAGTAAGGCCAAGGGTGAACCCATGTTCTTGACCTTTATTTTAATTAGGGCTGTACTGATCCTTAGATTGGACATCAGCCAATTCAGGTGTTTTTCACAAAATCGGTGAAACTGATCTTTGGGCCGGCCAATCTTCTGTTTTGTGTCTAACAGCATCACATTTCTTCTCCCCATTTTGATTTTCCGGCATTTTGTAGCAGGCTGGGGAACTCTTACAAGTAGACAGTGGTTGATGTGATTTGCATTTATTCAGGAGAGTGGAACTTGAAACTTGAAAGCACATAGCCATAAGAGCATGCAACTTCTTCCTTCTAAAAGGCAGCTAATGTAGGAGTATGTGTGAGAAGCTGCTGCATTCCAATTGAATCATTTAAGAAGCCATTGCTATTGAATTTTTCTAAAACAAATGCTGAAACCTTGAATGGGCCTACTCATTAGGTTAACTGTTACATAGATTCAAACAAATGCCTCAAACTGGAAATGATATAAATCTCTTCCTTACTATATAACATCTTTAGTGAATATAGAATCTGATATTAATGCCTAATTTTCCTGCGATATGGAGCTCTATTTGTGATTTTTGGTGATTTTGGAAAAACTCATAATTTTAATTTAAAAAAATAGGTCATTGTAGAGGCTTTTCACTTCATGCTCAATGTAGAACTGATGCACCTAATTCAAGTTAACTCTTTCATGGCAGTGGGAAGAATTCTTCCCAAAACATTTGATTCCAGTGCCTGGGAGAGCTTTCTCCCACTCTTTCACACTCAAGGTCTAGGCAAACAGGAAAAAATGTGTCAGCAAACCAACCTTATCCATTGGCTGATCTTGTTGCGCAATGTGTATCATTTGGCATTGCTGGTGTACATTTGGCACATGTCTGCAACATAAGCTGTCCATATCTTATTTACTGAAACACTAAGACCTGAGAAGTCAAAGGATGTAGCCAACTTTAGGGCAAGGAAACAAGGTTTTATTGTTTTATATTTTTGCTGCTCAGTTTTGGTTTCAGCCTTTACTGGTGATATGTATGGTGAATGTAGATGTAGGCTTACTGGTGTTACTATTTCAACTGCATGGGCCGTCTAAGGATAGCACTGATCCATGCCAACATGTGGGTACTACTTGCCCTGTTATTTAGGCTAGGCCTATTGGTGATGATATTAAACAGGAGTCAACTCAGCCTGTAATTGGAATCAGACAGTGCCTTAAAGATAGAGGACTTGAGGGATGGATAGTTAGACTGAGACCATGGTCTCAGTCTAACCCCTTGAATATTCTGGATCTCAACTCCTGCATTGATGACTTGTATGTACAGCAACTGCTGCCAATGAATTGATTTTTGATCCATTGCACCCTCTCCATCCCTTTCTGAATGATGCCACAGGTGCTACTTGAATGATGTCTGCAACCATACCATAGCAAACTTAACAATTTTGAGAGGAGAATGTTATAATACCAGTAGGCCTAGGCTTTTAAAACATGCAAAATTGTGAAAGAATTCGAGACCGACGGTATTTTTAGGACCACCACACTTGATAGTAATCTCTCAGCCTCTAAGTTCTAAGTGTACAAGATGTCTCCAAATTACTGATGCACTTTTATAGTTAAATAAAATATAATTATGCAAGATGAAAATTTGGAGGTTCCAACATTGCAAGTTTATTCATACATAGTCTTGCTGCTGCATCACTTCCATGTGGGCACCATTTGTGGCTCGAACCACATCCAGTTGATAATTAATTCCTGCCAGTGTATGTACCAGCATCTCTAGTGTAACTATAGCATTTGCTTCTGTTATGCAACGTTGCAGTGTTGCAACGTTTCTACATTTGTGATCATTGTCTGGTAAACAATGCCTTCACATGGTCCCACAAGGTGAAATTCAATGGAGTGATGCTAGGGGAACATGGAGGCCACTAAATAGGATCACCATGACCAATCCACCTTCCAGGAAATGTTTGGTCCTGGAACTGCCATAGGAGGTGGCTCCAATATGGAGGTGCCTTGTTCCCCTAGCATTCTATTTCACTTCTTGTGGGAAGTATGTTAAATGCATTGTTTACCAGATGAATATTGAACATTTGAAAACATTGCAGCACCACACAACAGGCAGTTGCTACAATTGTACCATAGATGCTACCATGTACATGGGCAGTAATTTATTATTGCCAGGACATGGTTCGAGCCACTAATGGTACACATGTGGAAGCAATCTAATGGCAAGACTATGCAAATATAAAATTGTACCAATAATTTCTGGACACTATTTTTCAGGTATATGCAGTCAACATCCTGGAAACACTCTTTGCATGATGATTAGCATAATTTTCCATGTTGCTTGGGCCTAACACAAATTTCCAGAAGAGCAGTTCCAGTATTGATGGAATAGGTGTAGCTGTGAGTGGCATGATAAATGGCCTGGAAAATATGTTGATATGATACTGTAAAGACTTCTTACCTGAAGTTTCAGGCTGATGTGAGAGCGCTGTTGTGTTCTTGACACATTTGTTACAACTGATCTGCTCTTTCCATGTCTCATATCAAACTGAGCCACTGGTTTCAAATTGAAATTCAAGCTTGAAATTTGTCATCTTTAGGCTTGGAAAGGAAGCATTTGAGAAGGGATGGTGCTGACTCGGCAAGCAACGGCAGCGACCGAGGGTCGGGCAGCCCTTGCCCTCACAGACCTGCCTTATCGCAGCCCTCGCCCTTCTACTTCCACTGCTCAAGTACAAGAAAAGCTTCACATCCTCAGCCTGCCTCCTGAAATACTTGAGCACATCATCGACTTCCTCCCATACCAGGAGGTTGCACATGTCCGATTGGTGAGGCTTAATGAAACCTATTTAAAACTTTATATCAATCACATACCTCACAGTAACATTCCCTCTTAAATCAGCAGCTTCTCATTGCTCATTTGGTTATTAACTCTTTCACTGCCAAGGACTTAAATGCCCAGGCAACCTCTCCTTGCCTAGCATTGCAGTGGAGGTTCATTGCACTGAACATGCCATGTGGTGTGAACAGCAGTGAAAGGGTTAAAAGGTTGTTGACCTCCAGGGTAACTGGGTTTTCTTCCTGATATCACATCTCATCCTCATTTTATCCTGGAAACTTCATCTGTCATTCTTCCAGTATTGACCATAAGAAACACTCTTCATGCCCTCATGATTGGAATCTAAGTAGGGTGGATGTTGTGAATTGCATGGTCTTTGAAATCTGACTGTAGTACCATGTAATCTTGTGGAAAGAAACTTAAAATCTTCATATTCAGCAATCTGTCCTGATTCTTTGGAAGGCTGCTAAGGCTGCTCCTGGAGTGCCACAAAGGGTTATGATAATAATTGGCCTATTGCAATTGGATCCTATTTGTCCTTTTAACCTCTATCTCTTCCATGCATGCCAAATGAGAGGAAACTGTAATGGCCCGGTGGGAGTAACTTGGCTGATTTCCATCTTCCATGTCGAAAGAAATATTGCATATCTTCTTTTGCAGCTGGTTGTGCACATTAAAAGGCTTTGCATATCTCCATGACTAGCCATAAATGCCTCTAGACATCAGCATACCATGGGAAATGAGACATCCCATGGAACCTGTTCTAAAAGAAAAAGGCATATTTTTGTTCTTCTCTTTGTTACGTTGGGAAGAGTCCCACCTCTTTCTGCAACTTTATTAGATCAAGTAAGGCCAAGGGTGAACCCATGTTATTGACCTATATTTTAATTAGGGCTGTACTGATCCTAAGATTGGACATCAGCCAATTCAGGTGTTTTTCACAAAATCGGTGAAACTGATCTTTGGGCCAGCCAATCTTCTGTTTTGTGTGTTTAACAAGCATCACATTTCTTCTCCCCATTTTGATTTCCCGGCATTTTGTAGCAGGACGGGGAACTCCTACAAGGAGACAGTGGTTGATGTGATTTGCATTTATTCAGGAGAGTGGACCTTGAAACTTGAAAGCACGTAGCCATAAGATCATGCAACTTCTTCCTTCTAAAAGGCAGCTAATGTAGGAGTATGTGTGAGAAGCTGCTGCATTCCTATTGAATCATTTTAAGAAGCTGTTGCTATTGAATTTTTCTAAAACAAATGCTGAAACCTTGAATGGGCCTGCTCATTAGGTTAACTGTTACATAGATTCAAACTAATGCCTCAAACTGCAAATGATACAAATCTCTTCCTTACTATATAACATCTTTAGTGAATATAGAATCTGATGTTAATGGCTAATTTTCCTGTGATATGGAGCTCTATTTGTGATTTTTGGTGATTTTGGAAAAACTCAATTTTAATTTTAAAAAAATAGGTCATTGTAGAGGCTTTTCACTTCATGCTCAATGTAGAACTGATGCACCTAATTCAAGTTAACTCTTTCATGGCAGTGGGAAGAATTCTTCCCAAAACATTTGATTCCAGTGCCTGGGAGAGCTTTCTCCCACTCTTTCACACTCACATCATCTACTGGTGATCAGGAAAGGTTCCCATCACAAATCTGAACATATTATTTGGGGGGGGGGGGGGGGACTGGAATTTCTCAAAATAAAAGCCTCCATAAGCAGGAAAAGAAAATTGACTGAATTTTGTCATTTATGCACGTGAAAAATTTCCCCAAGAGTTTGTTATCTTGATTACAATAATTTAGAAAAAATAAAATCTTTGCACAAAGATTGGTATGGGTCATCTTTCAAGAACAGATATCAGGAATTGACATATCAGCCCAGTTTTTTGTATCACTACAGCCCTAATTTAAATTTGAATCATACATTTCACACATATGAAAATGTACTGCAGGAATACAGGATCATTCCTTGTTTGAAGTCATGCAGCTAGAGAACACAGAACAGAATTCAAGAAGCCAATTGAAGCAGTAAGTCAGGAGGGAAATTATGCATGTAACTTTTGAAGGTGTCATTTGCTGTGATTGCTAGAAAAATGAAAGTATTTCATAATTTTTTTTCCTGGAAATCAGATGACACTGGCTTTACATATGGTAATATTGGCTTGGTAATATTTTCATCCATTGTGGATTGAACATTCATAATCATAGCTTGGTTGCCCTGCAGGATTGAAAGTCCAAATAAAATGTAGGGCAGCTGTGGCAGCAAGGCAAAAGTAGTTTGAAGGATATTCCTTTAACCTGATACATTCTTGTGGCATTGAGTTCAGTGCTTTCTTGTAGATGACTGAAGCAGACTAGCCTGAGAGATCTCTAGTTCATTTCAGTTGCTTAAGGCCATAAAGGGCTGTTACTAATATGAGATGCTGTAAACATCATGAATCCAAATATCCCATATTCAAATTCTAGCTCATTTCATAGCAACCAGAAAGTGATGAACTGAAATGTGAGACTATGTATGGATAAGAACTGGAGACATTCTCAGCAACTTCTAGAATCCCCCCCCCCCCCTTTTTTTTTTTTTTTTTTTTCTTCTTCA